TAGTAGTTTGAGTATCTATACACAACGACAAATTCATGATTTTATCATTCCATATAGTCTTAACCTCAATACAATCTCATCATACAAAAGATTCATTTGTGGCATCTTACACAATTTCATTCACAAAATATAATTTTAGTCAATAAATCATTCTATTGAAAAATTGAAGAAAATATATTTCATGTTAATCACATATAACATAAAATTTATTAAAAAATTTACTATTTTAATCCAATGATTTTAATTAATCATATATTATACGATATATAATATATTAAATATATATATAAAAAATTAAAAATAATTTTGTCTAATAATTTTGTACTTTGTATTGTTTGACTTAGTAATTTTTAAAAATATTTTGCAGAAAATTTAAAATTTAAACAATCATGATTGAAAATCATTATAAATGATTTAAATCTATTGTAATATATACTACAAAATATTGTTTTCAAAATATCTGTGAAAAATTTTTTTTGAATTTTTTTTGATCAAAATTTTAATTTCAATTCATGTTTTTAAGTACATTCAAAAGATAATCATAATAAAGATTTAAAATTATCTTAATGTTTATAAGAAATATGTATTTTGATCTTTGTAAATGATGCAAAAATATTCATAGTTGTTTGACTATCTGTTGATAAAGCAAATTCATATATTTTATTGGTGATAGTATATGAATACATATAATATCATGAATATAAATCTGCATGTGTGCAATAAAAAATAATAATTACATAATAAATCTTACAATAAGTAATTTTTAATATTACATGTATGATTAATTTTTACTTCTGAAGACAAAAGCAGGTCATTTAATTTGATTCTGTTTTCTTATGATTTTTAATTCATATTTTGAATATACATGATTAAAGTTTATGTTTTTATTGAATTTTGAAGTAAAGACGTGATTTTTATTTTATTTTCAAATAATTATACCAACTTTCTTTAAAAATTATTTTTGATTATTATATTTTATTTCTTATGATGTGCATACAGTTTAATTACGGATTAAAAATAATCTGATAGTTAATGTATGACGTCAAAGTCTATAAAAGTTTATTGTCATGAAATAACTTTATTATTGTCAAATATGTAATTACATAATTATTTCAATAGATTCACAAAATGTATATGACCTATAGTATTATTGCCAATTTCAGAAAGTTCATATTTAATAGTCACATATTTTATTTTAATAATGAAGTCATTAGAAATGATTAAGTTAAAATATATATATAATTTTGGGAATGGTTATTCTTCTCTTAGTTTAAGCTAATTATCCCTCACTCTACTATACTAGGATGAGAGATAAGTGATCGGATAAGTTCTAGATTGGTAATTGCCGTTGACAATAGCATGAAATGATGAAATCGAGTAAGATCTTGCTAAGTTTGAAGATGAACAGTGTTGTGGGTGGAACTTGGATCGAGCTTTGCTTGCTCAACGCCGATCATTGGAAGGAAGAAATTATCGATTTAAGATTAGATTGGCCTCAGTGCAAGGATGGTGGTTCACACAAATGTCATACACAATCGTCGTAGACTTTGAGTCCGTCTCTTGCAGATATAATCTGGACAAATTGAGATGAGAATACGCATGAACAATCGGCGCTACTACTCCTCCTCCTTGTCGTGAATGTAGAGGCAGAATGAGTACTTGCAGCAAGAGAGGAAGAACACGAGAGCTGGTGAATCAGTCTCCGAGACACTTTGCTGTTAAGCCATGGAAGAGAAGACTGAAACGACAAGGATAGGAGAGAAGCAGCAATATGTCATCGGCTCCCGGTTCCTGGCGAAAGTCCAACCTAATAACTACGTACTTGGCTACTTATCCATCCTCTTAGTTTAGTAGAGATAGGGATAATTAGGGTTCAACTAAGAAATAACTAGCTGCTCTCATAATTTTCAACATGATAAGTATAGCAAATCAATCTAACGTTAACGCTCTATTACCGCATCCTTATAAATAGAGCACTTTGTTTCAATAGAGACGTATGTGTTAACATCATACATTCCATCTAATAGTATGCATTGCATAGTTTTGAGATTTAGATTTAAGATTTTTTGAATCGAGTTTATTTCTTTGTAAGATCTTGAAGACGATGTAGAAGAAAGTAACATAAGACGGACTTTTGAAGCTCAAATTGAAAGAGTGGAATTGCAAAAATGATATTGGTATTTCAAGTCTGGTAGCGAAGAAATTCAAGCTTCCATCAAGCATAGTGTGAACTTGATGGACAAATCGTGATGGTATTATCAACGTTTTGTCCAGTAATATGACAAGAAAACGTTTAAGCGGATGTGATCTCAAATACATCTTCATGTAATTAGATTAGAAAATAATGCTTATGAATCTGAGAGCTACAAAAAAGCGAGTAATGCGAGAAACATTATATCACATCGCCCAAGAAAGTGTCAAATGAAATTATCGCTGAAAATTTCAAAACTTTAGATGGTTGGATGATAAAGTTATGCAATGTAAAGTAATGGTTTTGTTGAGTTACAAATTTGCCCACACTTTCACATGAAACGTTGCAAAATTGTGCTTTTAAATGTATGAAATACTTGAATAATATTTAAAGAACTTGCGTCTTATCCAATACAATATTAATGGATGTGACTGCTATGTATTTAGAAGATTTTCGGCAAACAACAATCGAAACGACAAGAACGAGTCACCTTTTGTTTTAAAAATTTGGATTTGCATCAATGAAGATAACCCTTGTGCTTGGAGTAAAAGCCAATGGCAGTAAGGAGATGCCACTAGTGTTTATTAAAGGCAATGATTCATGTTTTTTGTGCATCTAAAATACATTATCTATGTATGATTTATCAAGTCAAAACATCTATTAACAAGGTACTACTAATTTAATGAATGGAGCTGACTATTCCAAGTGTTATTGAGGATCTTAAATAAAGCTAACGATAAGGTATTATTGCGAAGCTAATATTTTGAATGATGTGAATTCCTACGTGATAAACCAAACAATCAGTCTAGCAACTATTCCTGGCGGGCTGATTGCTTACGTTCTAGCTGGTGATATCATAACTTATATGTCATTTAAATATGAATCTATCTTTTTTGATTGAAGCTTGAAAAAAATTAAAAAATATTGTGCTTACACAAAGTGACGGAGCTACAAGCGGGAGTAGAAGGAACACAATCCCTCACCCAACAAACCATACCCCTGAAAATGCGGGACTGAAAAAACACACGTGTGCAATGATTATAGAGTCAACGTCATCTCAAAGTTTTTTCTCTCGAAGTCGCGATGAGAAAAACTAGGTCCATGGATTTGCAATTCATCAGGTTGAAAATGGTAAATCACATGGACTTCGTAACTCGTTTAGGACTTTGTTTCTCTCATCATTTGTTCAAACTGTTTGATTCAAGATACTTATACGGGCAGACTTGATATGAGCATTTCGTTTCTCTCTAGATCTGTTTGAACTTGTTTTTTGATTCATGATACTCATACAAGCATGCTTCATAGAAGCACTTTGTTACTCTCATCATCTGTTTGAACTGTTCGTTTGATTCAAGATACTCATACGAGTAGGTTTCATAGGAGCACAAAGAACATTTGGAGAAGCATTTAGATCATTTTCTAGATTCTACGAAAACTAGGGATTTTTTCATCTGACGAGTCGGTCATAGCGGCAATCTTACCAACTAGAGACTACAATTGCCCACAAAATCGCTCCACAAACAAACTGTTTGTCTTTGAGATCGCTAGTGCGGGACAGAAGAAAACAAAGACAAATGTATACAAAAGTAAGAAAAAAATAGCATTTGTTTGTCTCTGAGGCTTCTTCTATCTTCTAATTGATTTGGATACTTTTGTTTTTGTATTTTTTGCACATTGTAACTTATTTTTGATACATTGTATATTTGTTAAAAATGTTGACGCCTCATCAATTTTGATATTTTTCATGAACTGTAAGTTTCAGCAGGATCAAAATGCAAAACTTTTTATATACACATGAAAGTCGGATGCTTCTGGTTCTGATACTTGTGACTTTTTTTTTAATGTTTTGTGGTTGGAGAAGTTATACTCTTTTATTTTTTCTTTTAATTGTTTCAAGGTTAGAAAAGCTTGACGCTTGTGTTTTCTGTTTTTGATTGTTTTGTGGTTGGATAAGTTGAGTTTCTCTATATCAGTGATGTTAACATATCCTGCATCGAAGTGTTAGTGTACAGAAAATCTGTTTGTGGCCACATTGGAACGCAATTTGGAGATGAAACTAATCATTTTGTCCTACCTGGCCTTTAAGAGGATCTTTAAGAGGGATAGTTATCGAAAGTCTTACATATCTAAAGGATCTTTTCAATCACAACTGTCAAAATATTCTACTGTAAAAGAGCGTGGTATACTTTTTCAATTCTGTTTTTAATGGTTTGCTTTGCATACTTGGCTTGAATACAACCTTGCAAATGATGTATATTGCTTTTCTTGTTATTTATTTGCGTAGGATACACAAGCTTCGAGGTAATTTGTCAATGAAGGTGTTGCAAGTTGGAACAATTTTTTTGGAAAGAACTGTAAATTGGTAAAACGTGTTGGTAAACACACTTCAATTCACTCTTTGCATTTCATTGCTTGGAAGTCATTACCGAACTAGCATTCTTCGATTGAAGCCACACTAGATGGTCAATCTCAACAAAAAAAGCTGATCACATACTTTGGTTGACATTATCTATTAAGACAATGTGATTTCTGGCACATCAAGGTCTTGCTTTTTGAGATCATGATGAGTCTAAAGATTCATTCAATTGTGGAAATTTTCTTGAGCTACTTACTTATTTTTATCACCATTTTGCATATTATCAATGTGTTTGACTCGATTGTGCACTGAAAAATGCAACAATGATATCTTCAGACATCTAGAAGGACATACTAAGGGCCATGGCTTCATGTGTTAGAGACAATATTGTGAAGCAAATCCGGAACAACTTTTGTTGTGTGCTAATTGATGAGGCTTAAGATGAATCAACAGATGTCTTTGATTCTAAGGTTTGTTGACAGTTTTGAAATAATTCGAGAGAGGTTTTTGGATTTGATCCATGTTGCTAATACACGTTTAGAATTGTTGATGGTCGTCATTGTTTCCACTTTGAGCCGAAACTCTCTTTTGCTATTCTGTGTACGAAGACAAAAATATGATAAAGCATCTAATATGTGTGAAAACATTAACGGATTGAAGACTATCATCCAAAGAAAAGTACCTTCAGCATACTATGTTCATTGTTTTGCACACCGAATTCAACTTGCTTTGATATCAAAAGCTAAGAATCACATCAAAGTTTGCCGGTTCTTTGTTGAATTGTCATCATTATGTGTCACGGTAGGTGTTTTTTGTAAACGTGCGGATTTGTTTCAAGAATTGTAGGCAGCTAACATTTGTGATGCAATTGTTGGCGAAGAAATGGAACAGTTTTTGGATTAAATCAAGAGCAATCACTCCGGCGGCAAGGAGATACAAGATGGAAAACTTACTTTGTTTTTATTCGTTGAGTGCTTGATCTGTATGATTCAATTGTCAAAGTTCTTGAAATTATTGTGGAAGATGCTCTGTAACAGTTTCAAAAGCAAAAGTGTTAAGATTGTTGGAAGCGATATGCAGCTTTGACTTTGTTCTAATGTTATACATTATGAAGACAATTTTAAGCAAGTCTGTAGTTCTTTTTGAAGCTTTACAACGCAAGGACCAAGACATACTCAATGCTATGAACCTTGTTGGTGTTACAAAGTATGAATTGCAAGAAATGAGATCAGAAGAAGTATGGAAAGCAGTATATGAAGCGGTTCAATCTTTATGTCTCACAAAAAACATCGCTGTCCGTGATATGGAATCAATTTATGTGCTTACGATACATCCTCGTCGCAATGCTGACAACATAACCTACAATCATTATTATCATGTGGAGATCTTCCTCAACATTGTAGATTCATAATCAAGTGAGTTTGATGACTATTTTCTTGGATGTTCGTTTGCATTGTTGAAACGGATTGCCTATTTATATATAGACCACCTTTGCATCCTACTAATGTCTCAGAGCTAGTTGAGTTGGGGCGGATGTATCCACCTGACTTTGAACAATATGATTTGGTGATGTTAGAACAACAAATTTTGCAATTCTGCATAGTGTTGAGGTTCAACAAAGCTTTTTATAGAATTTGATCTCTTTCTGCTTTAGCTATAATGATCTTTGAACTCAAGAAGTCTATTAATTATCATCTTGTTTTGCGACTAATCAGTTTGGCTTTAACTTTACCTGTTAGTACTATGTCAATTGAACGTTGTTTCTCAACATTGAAGATTGTGAAAATGGGATTGATGAACAAAATGGAGGATGAGTATCTTGCTGATGCTATTGGTACGTTTGTTGAAAGAGAGTTAGCACAAGGAATCACCACTGACGTTATTATTGAGAAATTTCAAATGCTGAACACTCAATGTTTGCACTTAGATTAACACACAGAATTCAATAATTCTACAATTTGATATTACTTATTTGATTTTTTTGTCATGAGTGACAAGAATTTGGTTGTAATACAAGTGCATTTGAATTAATACACAAAATTTGATGTTTTTACAATTTGAATATACTTATTTGAATTCTGTCATGGATGACAGAATTCATGATTGTAACACATTGCTCTTGAATTAATACACAAAATTTGGTATTTTTACAATTTGGATATACTTTTTTGCATTCTCTGTCATGGGTGACATGAATTTTGGTTGTAACACAATGCAGTTGAATTAATACACAAAATTAAGTTTTTTTCCAATTTGGATCTACTTATTTGAATTCTCTATTATGGATGACAAGAATTTTAATTTTAACATAGTGTAGTTGGATAAATACACATAATTGAGGTTTGTACAATTTGGATCTACTTTTTTGAATTCTCGGTCATGGGTAACAAGAATTTTGGTTGTAATACAATGCAGTTGGATTAATACACAGGATTGGAGTTTTTACAATTTGGATATACTTTTTTTGAGATCTCAGTTATGTATAATAGGAGTTTTAGTTTTAACACAGTGTAGTTGGTTTTGTATAGAGAATTTGGTTTTTTATACAATTTGGATGTACTTTTTTGAATTCTCTTTCATGAAGTTTTGGTTTTAACATAGGGTTGTAACAGAATTATCCTAAAAATTTTGCATGCGGCGCTACCTAGCGGGCTGCCCTCCTCCTGAAAAATCCTGGCTCCGTCCCTGGTTACACAAAGAGTCAATCCAAAATCTAGGAAAAAGTAATCTGAGATTGCATCAAGAGAAGATGGTGGAACATTCCCTAGTTGGTAATTCGGAAATCAATTGTACAATATGGATTTCATGACAACTTTGAAGTATGACATATTACGCACCACTATATTTATGGATCCCAATTCAAGAATTCTAGATCTCTAACTAGAATGAAGTAGTGAAGAAATTTAAAGTTTAGTAGCATGAGGTAAATAACATATTACGTCTAGACTACAAAAATTGAAATGCCCCATCTAATAAAACGCAATTTCTACTAGATTTCCGTATTCATATTTTGGAAGGGCATTGTAGTACAATACCAGCGTTATATTAGAGTGGGTACGAAATATATCTCTCAAGTATGCAAAATGTAACCAACTCAATCATCAGAAATATGTATATGAGATGATTATCCAAGCTATATATGTACATAAATATACAAATAAAGTGATAGTAGATTTTTGCAATATGTTAAGATGCACAAAAAGAGTGTATTGCATGACTTTGACGTCTTTACATCTAAATACCTTTTATTATTGATCATTCACAATTTGATTTTTTTATGCTTTTTCATGTTCAAGACTTTGTAATTGTAAATGATATACATAGAGCAGAGTAATGATGAAATTTTGTATAAATATTGGATAATTTGCTTTAATTTCTTTGATTAACGTTCTTTATTCACGACTTTACTAATATACTGTACATGATTTCGATGCTTGTTAATCGCCAAACTTCCACTGTATTTAAAGATTGGAATGCAAGAGATGTTCGTGTAGCAGTTGGTTAGATAGACGTTTATCATATCCGTTCCTCCTAAACACTACAGCGTTTATGACAATATAAAGAAATATCAAGCGGAGCTAAACGACTAATTCCACCGTCATCCAAATCCTCAGCTCAAGAATCTTGGATTTAACACGGAGTTGCTACTGGATGAGGAAGTGGGAGGAGTATATAAATAAGTAGAACCATTAAGAGAAAGCTTATAGACAGCCAGGCCTGAGAGAGAGCACAGAGTATAGGCAGCCAGGAAAACGAAACAAATCCAAGAGAAATACTCCCAGAAAACCATCCCCATAATTAGTGGCGAGAAAGGACAAAAGAAAGAGCTGGTGCGATGCTTGTACGAATTGCCCCGGAAAAGGATTTCTCACACATGGCAGGATGGGTACGAAAGCACGAACCTAACCTACGACATACCGTAGAGAAGATAAAAGATGTGAAGTTTCTCAGACCTTGAAACACGTTGGCTAAGAAAATGGAGGACACCCATCACACGTTGTCCCATCCTGCATGTCTTTGCCAAAGAGATTCTGGAAGTCCCAGACAAACGGCGTGCCTCGTACTGATGAGGCAAGGAACGTCTTGCTAAGACGGGAGAGCGCGAGACCATGTCTGATCCGTTCTTGAGAGGAAGCTCCTCTACGGAGGAAGATCCCTAGAGATTGTGGAGGTCTTCCTTAGATCGACGTCTTTGTGGAGGAGTTTGCTGACAAGGCAACACAAGCGACGTCCAAAGTACGTGGATGCGCTATTCATAGCATACACATTGTATTTCAAATCCCGTCACAATTTGGTTCTCTGTAATGTACCGATTCTTTTGTGAATTTGAACAAATTATTTTCCATCTGATTCATCTTGTTACGGCTTACTGGGAGTCTTCCCATAAGTTTCATTTGGCATTCCGTTTTCATTGTACAAGTAGTGTCTTGTGTGGGATGATAACACAACTGGCACAATGTTAAATTGAGTAAAAAAAATCTAAACTGTTTTGTATAACTATGGCTGTAGAAGCCGGGGACTGTCTGACAAAAAAAGGTAATATGCACATCGCCAGAGAATTCTATTTATTCGCTCAGTGGACTCTGCATGTGGCAGGCACCTGTGAACAAAAAAAAAGACAAAACTGGAATTCAACAAACATGATCGGTGTAATAACATCGTTTTGGCATGAATATATTTAAAGTTTTGTACTGTCTTTACTTTTTTTTTGTTGGTTTTGAAGGTATGTAAACCAAGAAATTCAAAACGCTAGAAGAAAGATAAGAGATATCAAGACAATCTCGACATTTTCCTAAGAAATTGTGTCCTTAGTCTCTTCAGAAGTGATAATATATACATATATGCATGCTATCATATTCCCTCTCATGCATTGTATTTATTGTGTTCAAACAAGTTGAGAATGTATTCCAGTTCATTATGGTCATGACTATTCTCTGTTTGACATAAATTTGAACCACGTCATATGTTCTTGTGTGTAAACAATAACAGTATTGAATACAATTTCTTGACGAAATGTGAATCATTGAAATGATTTAGATTTAGAGATTCTACTTACTCAAGCTGCTGCGTAATTGATTTCATTCCGAAGCTATATTTTTGACTTTGTTTTGCACATGTGAGTAAAGTTCGACAACATGAACTTATACTCAACATCATTACATACTGATAATATTTGAATCACATCGACTACTAACGTGTCTCATCTCAAACCTCTATGCATAACAACAATTTGGAAGAAGTCCACCACTCACAATAAAGGGTTTACCCTATACATCTCATAGTGGACTTCCATCCCCTACGAATGTTGGAAAATCTTCAGAAAGGGCGAAACTATACGTACTGTACATTCTGGCGGTATCCAAAAGTGTGAATACGGTGACCGTCCAGCGTCGATGTTTCTCGTCTACACCTCGGAGGTGAAAAGCGAGCTCACCTCTACTTGACAGGTTGTGCAGTTTAGTGGGCGCCTATAAGGACTGTCCTCCAGGAAGGAGCAGATTGTAAAGCGCTGATAATAAAGTCAGTGTCCTTCCTTCCATGGAAGCTCGGACGAAAAAGTCCAGAATAACTTGCTGTACCAGGGCCGTCCTGAGGAAAGGCTAGAGTACCATCGAGTAAAGAAGACCTGGAAAGTCCTTCTACAGAAGATGATCACGGGTCGAGCTTAGAGGTAGGTCCACAGGTCCTGACTGTTCGGCCGAAGACGAGGAAGCCCAAGTACAGAAATGACAAAAAGCTTTTTCGCTCTTTAATTCCTTCAATGAGAAGTCCACAGACTTTGACTGACTGCCTACGAAGGAAAGGAAGGAGGGAGTGGACCCTCAAGTACGGGGAATACAGTAGACGTGTTTCCACGAGATGTATCACCGGATGCTGATGCAGTTTCAAATACGGTACAATGCTCGAATTTATTTACGCTGAGATTTCTAGGAGCCTAGGTTTCCCGAAGTTCTAATCGTAATTACTTATCATCATCGCTATCGTCATTTGCGGATTAGGCACCCAAATTCCTTCCACGATTCCTGCGGTGATGCGGTCCGAGTCCGAGGCAAGCATCGACAGTCGGGAAACAAATGTAATCTTAGTAGCTGCACTTTTATGTTACGCTCTATCGAAAAGAATATACTGAACGAGGTGATGATCGTTTTCACGTGTCAGATGAAGACAGGCAAACTCGACAGGAAGGTCTTGAAGAACCGCCCGAAAGGATGGATGGTCGGAAGAAAGCACGGACCGGGACGGAGCGCTCTGGAAGGCCGGAAGCTAAAGCTAAGAACGCATCGGGGACGAGGATGAAAAGAGTGCCAGAAGGACTGGTGCTCTGCGAGGAAGAGTGGATTTAAGGTGGAAGGGCAGAGCAATAAAGCAAAGGCCACTCCAGAGGCCGCCAAGCCTCGGTTAGCCAGCCACCGTGGCCTCTGGCTCGGGCTGGGCCGGGGACAGGACTTCCGTCCGTCCGTCCGTTCGATGGAACGGAGCCACAGAGCAGTCATTCGTACGGAAGGGAAACGCAAGGGAGGAGAGAATTAACGAAGGTCGAGGATGCTTCGAGCTCAAGCCAGTGCAGATATCGCGGGTGCCGGGGATCTGTCGGGGCCAGGACTGGTGCGCCAGCGTTCGAGGGTATGGAAGCCCTTCCCTGCAAGGGTAGGGAAGGGAAGGGAAGCGGGAGGGACGTCCCATCCATCCATCCATTTCCGGAGGGGAGCCTTGTGCAAGAGAGAGGAGAGGAGCGGAAGACAGCCGCTGCTGCTGTTGCAAGGAAGAGGAGACGGAAGGAAGGAAGGGAAGGAAGGGAAGGAGGGGCCCCGAGGGGAGAGGGGAAGGGGGAGGAGGAAGGGGGAGGAGAGAAGAGGAGAGCAGGGAGCGAGGAAGTGCATGTGGGATTTGATTCACCATCCCCCACAGGAGCGAGCAAGCCAGGAAGCAGGGCAGGGAGGGGAGGGGAGGGGAGGCAGGGCAGGGCAGAACAGAACAGAGAGGAGGAACGGAAGGCAGACATTATATGCTCGCTCCACTTCACTTCACTCGGCCTTGTATTGATGTGGGTCGGTGTTGGATGGTGTCGGGGTTTTCTTTGTTGTTGCTGTTGTTAGTGTGGTTTTGATTCAAACTCGGTTGGAGGCGGAGTTTCGCACTCTGAGCATGCGTTGAAGGAGGGAGGCACGCAGGCCAGCAGGCAGGCACGTAGCGAACGGCAGCAGGAGAAGAGGAGAGCAGAGGAGAGAAGAGAAGGGAAGGGACGGGACGGGAAGGCAAAGCAGATTCAATTCGGGTGCGGATTAGATCCCTGGGGTTACGACAGTGAGCTGCTCAATTTTCGGTTTTGCTGGGCGGTGCGGAGTTGGCTTCGTTTTGGGCTGGGGTGGGTCGCACAGGAAGAATAGCGGGTGTGGAGGCGATGGCAAGGAGTGACGATCACGGAGTGACTGGTTGCCCCGGGCGATAGTGGAGCCGGGGAGTGCAGAAGATTGTGAATCTGTGCGTCTGGGTGGTTGCTGGATTGGCTTTCTCGGTGTCGTATCGATGTTTTCGGGCTGTGTACAGATGGGGCGTTTTGTTGAGTTTCAGGAGGGGATCGGTCGTCAGGGGAGGACTAGAAGCAGCAGCAGAAGCGGCAGGAGGTCGAACTCATGTCTACTTGGGCTGTGACCAAAAATCAGGGGGGAAGGCAAGGGATGAATGGGATTCGTGCCTGAAGTAGTCTATTTTGCTTAAGAAGGCATCCATCAGCTTTGGCTACCTCAAATATCGGAGCTTTTTCCAACGACTGGTTCCCTCAAGCGTGCTCGTGATTCGAATGCGATTGCAAGAACTGGAGACCGAATCTTCGTCCATTGCTGTTGAGATTCCTGCTGACGGGGAGTTTTTCTCGTGCAACACTTCTTTTAGTTCAAGGGAGTGATATGATGGGCACTTGATAGTTGATTTGTTTGAGGTGTTGGAATTGGTGAGCAGCATCTCAATCGCGAGTTCGGTTTTGTGGCTGGGGGAATTTTCCCAACATGTTTTAAGGGAGCTTTAGGCAGGAAGGGCCGAGGCGTGTGTAAATATCACTACAGGAAGCTGAAAGTGGCGGGTAAGGCAAGCAAGGCAAGACCCCGTGGCGCCGGCCTGGTGGCTTCAATGTAGTGAAGAGCATTTGCGGAGTTATGTACATTAAGAAGCTGGGATGAGGCTGGAGTTGGTGGCAGTAGGTCCGTTTCTTGGGCTCAGGAGTGCTACATGAACATCGGAGGGGCTCCACTCGCACGAAGAGGGCTTTTGGGTTCAAGTGTTGACGAGCTATGGCCTGGCAGAATTACCCCATCTATGTTCTTCAGATTGATAACAGACGTCTTTGTAAGCGCCTGAAGAGATGTATACTATTCACCTTGTGATCGAGAAGATTTCTGGTCCTTTAACATGTCATGATTCATTCATTACACACACACACACACACTCATACGCACACCACACGTATTGTAGCCCATCCGTGTGCATCATACCTAACTTTAAAAGTCTGACGGTATCATTATCTGAGTAAAAATTTGCTGAGGCCTGCCAAGTCATGCATAATCCCAACGCAGAGAGGTTATCGTCTAAAGGTCAGTTTCAGTCATTTGGGCGCTGGAGATCAGTTGCCAGATGTACATGAATGGGACAGGGTACCATAAATGGGGACCTCCAATTTTTCTCTAGAATTTCGTCAAAGCTGTGCCTTGGCCATAGATAGTAGCCTCCGGTTTCCATCGGTCGGAAATAGTACTGAATATGACGACCAACAGTAGTGATGGTTTCCAGCCTATCTGAAGGAAGAGACCTTTAGTGACTAGAAACAGTCGTGAGGTGAAGGTTTGAGTTGGTACAAGGTTCGTGTCCGTCCGAGTGTGAAGCCGCAACTACTTTAAAGGAGTGATAGAGGAAGCGACGAAGAAACTAAACAGGGAGAGGTGTTGTGTTTGACTAAGGCACGACATTAGGAGTTGGGCATTGGCTGAGAATGCAGGCGGATGTATGCAGACAAGAATCGGCTTGGTAGCGTCTGTGGTGAGTGATACTTCTGACAAGATGGACACAACAGCACTCCTCCCCACCTCTGTGCTGCGCAACCTCTCCGACAAGTTGTACGAGAAGCGCAAAAATGCTGCCCTGGAGGTTAGTTTTAATGTTTCTAGGCTTCAATGGTTTCACCATAATTTGACCTTCTTTGATTTTTTCGGCATGAAAGGGGTTCATTTCCGGCTTGTTTCCGTCTTCTACATGTTTTAGATTTAGCAATGAAAAGCTACTTTTCTGCCCACAATTCAAGCAAATTTCAACTTGAAAATCGGGAGAGGTGTCGAGTTTTAGGTGGAAGTCGAGATTGAGTGCATCACGAAGAAGTGTATCGATGAATTTTGAAAATACGTGCCGAAGAGCTTTTTGCAAAACAACTCAGTCAAGAAGAACACGTGATTACACATAGAATAGTACATGATCCCACGACATCTTCGTCTTTGAGGGTCAAAAGTTGGCTAAACTGGGTCAGTTGTAGACTTGAGAGCATCAATTGATAACGAAAGTCGGAGTAGAGAACGGGCAGGATAAGTTTCAGGCAAATGCGTAAGAGAATACTTTTAAGTGGTACATTTAAGACTTGGACACTCGTAACTTACTTCTTCTGCTGCTTATTCGGGACCATCCGTACAGTCTGGAGTGTCTATGTAATGAAGTCGTCCTTTGATCTATAACTTGCACATATGAAGTTTTCACTCCAGAGCGTTTAAACCTTGACGCTCTATTGGACAAACTTGGACCTGTGAAATTCCACTGTGTGAGCTATATTCTCCTCGACGACTCATCTCTTATTTGTACTTACTTGTAGGTGGAAGGGGTTGTCAAACAACTTACTGCTGCCGGGGAACACGAAAAGATATCTGGTGTTATCCAAGTTCTCACAAATGACTTTGCGATGTCTCCACAAGCTAATCATCGAAAGGTTAGTGCTGCTTAACTTTAGACTGGGTATTATATTTGTGTTATCTCGTTATGTGGGTGCCTAGTCAATAAATCTTCTGTATCGCAGCTCTCTCTCTGACTCTTCAGGTCGTGGTTGCTTAATTATCAGGGCGGACTTATCGGTCTGGCGGCAGCTACTGTAGGCTTGGCGAATGACGCTAGTCAGCATCTTGATGTAAGATATGTGTGCTTGGAGAATGAAGCTAGTCAGCATCTTGATGTAAGATACAACCGGTTTGTTTTGTTGCTGTCTAGTTTGTGAGATGCCACAAGTTCCTGAATGTTCGCTTGTTCTAGAGAGCTCGTAGGTTACTTCATAACCATCCTATGCTTGGGATTGAGGGGCGCAACGCTGTGGGAACTTTCTTTTCCACTGAATGGGTCTGATGCTCTTTGGTTTGTCTCCGCAGAAGATCGTGCCACCTGTTCTTAATTCTTTTACAGATCAGGATAGTAGGGTTCGGTATTATGCGTGTGAAGCCCTATACAACATTGCAAAGGTGCTCAATCGACTTAAGTCCGCAATTTTCTTGAACTTTTCCCCGAATGCAAAAGATACCAATCTAGATGTATTAATCTTTTTTTCAAGATCAGAGACTGATCGAAAGCTTTTGTTGTGCAGGTTTCTCGGGGTGACTTTATAGTCTTTTTCAATGATATATTCGATGCTTTGTGCAAACTCTCAGCAGATTCTGACCCTAATGTGCAAAGTGCTGCACATCTTTTGGACCGGCTCGTCAAGGTAAATGATTTGCATCTTGTATGATACCCATCAAATGTTTTAAAATCCCAGAAAAGAATTATCTTCCCTTCTGCAAAGGTTTTTCTGTTATGAGGGACAACGGTGACCTCTTTAAGAGTCTATGATGGGTGTAATATCTTGCTGACTAAGCTTGACTGACTGGTCTTTCGTGGGTTGTAACTTGCAGGACATTGTTACGGAGAGTGACCAATTCAGGTTCTACGGGCCACCGATTCTAGATTTCTCTTCACTTTGTGGAACTCACTCTTAGATGTTTCTTAACTGGACCCCAGTTTTAAATATCGCATCGCTCCCAATCTTTATTCTCTTCCGGTGATTCGTGTCGTTTTCCAAAAAGAGTTCAATCTCAGTTGGGTGACTGCTGTTCGTTTTTGTTGGTAATAAACAATAATGTCTAGTGTTAATAAAAATCGACCAACCGAGTCCTCTTAGATTTGTATGTTTCTGAAGTTGGGCAAAAGATATGCGCTTAGATTCATTTTCAAGCCAAGCTTTGTGGTCCTGGCTTGCATACTCGTCCCATTCTGAGACTTAGTGTTGTCTTTGCAGTATTGAGGAGTTTATTCCGTTACTGAGGGAGCGGATGAATGTGCTGAATCCGTTTGTACGGCAGTTTTTGGTGGGATGGATCACGGTGCTCGATAGCGTGCCAGAGATCGATATGCTCGGCTTTCTCCCAGATTTTCTGGATGGTACGCATCTTCTTCGTCTGCTTTCCTGTGCTCGCTTGCCCGGTTCGTATCTTGACAGTGAAGATTGTAGTGTGATAAGTCTGATACATATGTTGCTCATATGTATGTAAAACTTATCCAGGTCTTTTCAACATGCTGAGTGACCCGAGCCATGAAATTCGTCAACAAGCAGACCAAGCACTTCACGAATTCCTGCAGGAGATAAAGAATGCTCCAGTAAGGAATACCACCTGCTTAGTTTCTGTGTAAACCGAAGGTGGACAAGAAAAATTTGACAGATCATGGGGATTGTCTCTCTCCTCTTCGACAGCGGCGATGTTGGAACGTCAAGTTATCTCTAGGGCTAGTCCTCTTCTTTCCCGTACTGAACTAGAGCTTTTTCTGGAGACAATTCTCCGTTTTGGCAGCTCGAAGTTGTAGATAGTAGAGCTGGTACAATTCTAGTTACTCAACCTTTGAAACTAGGTGGAGGTACGTTCGCTGTCGAATGCTTGTATTGTATCCTAACTTCGTTACTCTTTCTCTTGGGTATGAGCAGTCGGTGGATTATGGAAGAATGGCTGAGATACTGGTACAGAGGGCAAAGTCTGGAGACGAATTTACGCGTCTGACCTCAATCACTTGGGTACTTAAATCTACCGAATTAATTGGGAAGCGCTGACAACTCAATAGGTTTCCAAATGATGCAGTTGTTGGATGAGTTCAATGAAGACTACTGTTTTTCTTTAATGCATAAAATGGCAAAGTTGCCACGTGGCTCCTGGATACAATCTGAGAGCGTATCTCAGCGTGTAGACTATTCCTATGTGCTAGTTTGTAGTGTTTGCCATCTTACACTCTTGTTCTCTCGGCGTTTTACAGGTGAATGATTTCGTGAAACTAGGTGGGGAGCAACTTGTTCCATACTATGCCAAAATTCTGAAAGCAATCCTTCCGTCTATTTCTGACAAGGAGGAGAAGATCAGAGTGGTACGTTGAAATGCATCAGTGTTTCACTCCGTAGATTCATAAGAGTGGCTGGCCTCCATGTCTTTAAAGAGTGGGTTTGCATCATTGTTACTATTTTCTCTAAGACTCAGTGGTTTTGGGGGCTGAATAGGTTGCAAGGGAAACCAATGAAGCGCTTCGGGATGTCAAAGCAAGTCCTGGAGATGGCTTTGAAATTGGAGTTGTCCTGGAGGTTGCCATAAGGTAGCCACATCTCTTGTGCCAGTTGCTGCGGTGTAAATACAAGTTCATATTCTAAGTCCATACTAAAAAGAAATTGAATCGTGACATATCACGAGGAGATATTTAGAGCTTTTGTTGTAATGACTCTTGTTTGTCTTAATCGCTTGTCCATTTCGTGATGTTGAAATCTCTTTATATTCTTAGTATGGAAATACCTTTGGCGTAAGTCTGGGAGTTGGCTTCTTTATCAGGAACATACTTACGGAGAGTCGACGAGTGTATATGAAGCGATTTTCTCCTAACTGGCAATGCTTGCGAGTCGGAAGGTCTTATTGCTAATTATGGAACTTTATTTTACAGCCAGCTCCAAAGTGAACAGGAATCAACGCGGCTCGAAGCTTTGCGTTGGATCTCGATATTGCTGGAAAGACATAGAACGGAGGTAAACTTAAGCATATCTTCTATTATCTCGATCAAACAAGAAGAATGCGTGGTAGGCCTGAAATATGATCTAAACGGCGTGGTAACGGCATATCAGTTTGGTTTTTGATGGGCATGGTATGTTGCTTGGCGCAGGTGCTATCATTCATTGATGAGTTCTTCCCGAAGCTTTTGGATGCTCTTTCCGATACATCAGATGAAGTATGTGGATATATGCTTGAACTCATGCAGCCTCTTTCGATTGGTCAGGTCTTTGTTTTTGTTTGAAGTTCTTCAATAAGTAGCATTGGTTTATAAAGTCCTTCTAGAGTCCCAAGTTTGTGAGACGTAAAAGGATTACCATTGTTGAATTCGGCTGTTACTGAAAAGGGGATGTTTGTTGCTAGAAGCTATTCAAAGGTTCTCAATCTTTCATTTGGGCTTGACAGGTTGTTCTCTTGGTTTTGGAGGTTCAAGCCTGCATAGCCAGAGATCCTAACAATTTCCGACATCTGATGGTGTTTCTCGTTCATCGATTCAAGACGGTGCCCGGTCTTCTGGAAAAGTAATACAACTTCTCCAAGCAAAACCCCCGGTGACTAGAATCTTATGGAAGAAAACGAGCGATACACACGTATAATGTCTTTTCACACTCCTGGAGCTTATTTATCGTGGATCACACACTACGTCCAACCTTAACTGTGCAATATGTTCATTACAGGAGAGGAACGGTGGCAGTACGTCGCTTGTGTACCCGTCTTGATGCGGAGAAGGTTTATCGTGACTTTGCCTTGATTCTTGAAGGAGAGGCTGATTTAGAGTCAGCAACCATCTTGGTTCAGGTGGATAATCCTATTTTGATTACGTTACCATTTTCAATGAAACGGAGTATTATTGCCTTTTCTCACGGCTTTTAATACTCAGCGGAAACCTGATATGTGATACATGTGGCTGAATGTAGGCGCTCAATCTGATCCTCCTTACCGCAACTGAGCTTTCAGACTTACGGAGCATTTTGAAGAATTCATCGTCCAATCCTGCAGGCAGAAATTTATTCGTTGCTCTTTACAAATCCTGGTGTCACTCACCAATGGCCACCGTAAGCCTCTGTCTACTGGCTCAGGTATGGTTCATATTCTCGCGTTTTAACACTTAAGCGTGTTCTTTTCTATAATTATATACGTGTCAGATGTTTCCTGACGTTTTTCTATTGCCTAAGCGCAAACGTCATCACGTCCACCTCTGACGCCTAACTTCAACTTATGGAAGATCACTCCACCAAGATCAAACGTGTGCCTTCTTATGTTGTTTTGTTTAATGGTACAGACTCATATTTTCCAAGTTCATTCTTACAGGGCCTTAGATTTATCTAAAGTTGATCTTGACCTTACTCTTCCATCTTTCCCTTTGACAGGCTTATACGCACGCAAGTTCTATTATTCAGTCTCTTGGCGAATTAGACATCAATGTGAACCTTCTTGTCCAAGTGGACAAGCTAGTACGGTTACTTGAGACACCAATCTTTGCCTATCTCCGATTACAGGTAAGCTTATGAGAAAACTACAAATGATGTCATTCTTAGTCTGCATTGTCTTCTGCTTAATGTGTTTCTAGTTGATTTTTAGCTCAATCTGTGCCTATTGCCGTATTTAGAGTCAAGGTCCTTCAATATTCTTAATTTGACTTATTCTTACCATCTTATTCCATCTTGATTCAGTACAGACAGGTACAGAATTCTTTAGGATATTATGTATCTACTTGTTCGTGTTTTGAGACATTTGCTTCTCCTTTTTTTTCACGTATATGAGCTTAATCAATTATAGAAGGAATACCTACATGAGCATCGTTTGGTTGTTGTAGCTACTGGAACCTGGCAGATATCCAGCTCTTCTGAAGACATTGTATGGGTTGCTTATGCTGCTGCCTCAGGTAGCGAGCCTGATTATCCTGCCACTTTTTCTTATCATTAAACCTTAGAGAGTGTTTTAGTCTTCTACTTTGAAGCGTAAAGATAACTTTTAACGAGGATTTTAAATGCGTTAATTTTTATCTTGATGTGATGTTAGTCTCATGAAAAATCGTCTGTAGTAACCATTGCGTTCGAGTTTACCTTCGTGTAGATTGTCGGGATATGTAGAAGTATTCTCTGGTTGTTGTGTTTTGATGGTTGAATCCATAAAAGACCGTTCTGTTTTCAAGGAGTTGAAATGTCATTCTGTCGTGGCATCCGCTACGTCGATGCGAGAGGGATTGCCAGGTTTAAAATGTCACCTTAGCTGTTGTCTTTTGTTGATACAGCAAAGTTCTGCGTTCAAAATTTTACGAACTCGGTTGAAGACAATCCCGACGATGAACACTTCATCGGCTACAGACAATTACGCTATTAGACGCACGGCTTCTGGTGGACATTATGCTCAGATACTGTCTCATATCCCTTCAATTCAAAGTGCTTCTCAAGTTGATGAAGCTTCACAAAACCTAGATTCCAGAAATGGACCTTCTTCAATCAACTTTGACGCGCATTTGCAACAGTTTGAGGACATGCAGAACCAACATCGCCATTTTCGAGTGACACAGTCTCAGGCCAGGAAGCAGTCTCAGCAGTCTCAGCAGTCTCAGCAGTCTCGGAAACCCCCTATAGTTCCTGTGCAGGTTCGTTTTGTCGGTCCTTTTGTAAGCTTCTTTGTTCGGAATTTGTATTCTGAGCTTCTGGACTCTTTTCTCGACTTCTTTGAGATTTCTCTCAGCTTGGACTTGGCTCATGAAATATCTTATCTTATTGCTACAGAATGGTCAAAAAGATGATATCAGCGATCAGCGCCGAGGGAAAGCCACTGCAACCAGCATCGAACCGTCCGCACGAACACCCGCAAGAAATTGGCAGCGTTGAAACGGAGCCCAATTTGTTCCCCGCAAGTTACTGGTCCGGGGTTGGAATGCGATGTAGTCATTGTAATGATGGTACCCTTAAAAGGGTCTAGGTCCGAAGGGCTATTTCCCACCCCCTTATTGGCCGTTACACAACATCCCTCTGTAATTTTAATTCTTGAGGACGACTCAGGTGGTTAATAGAGTCTCGAGAGTTGGTAAATATCCTCTCAAGGAGAGACTGCTAACAACCCTCCGGAGTACGCCTCTTTCACCTGTGTATTGCCAAATGGTCACCAATCCCTTCTGAGCGATTTGGTTTGGAGAGTCCTCGTGTGGTTTAAGTTTTTGATCAACCATATGGGCAATGATTGTGTCTTTCCTAGTGCATTTAGGTTCTGAAGTTTCCTTTACAAGTTTACATTGCTCTATTTTGGAACATTCATTTGATACAAGTGTAAAGAAGATTATTTGTACGATGGTACTCATTGTGAACTCGGAGTGGATCCTTGCCACGGCAGCCTTTTTTGTCGGTGCGATTTTGTTGGATATATACGGATCGCAGAAAATTTGTACTCTACTGTTATTTATTTCATTTTTGAAACTCTTTCGAAGCTGTTGATTACCATGTTTTACGGATGTATCATTAGTTGTGCCGGATGCCACTATTGAAGTTCATGTATAAGCCACAGTTTGCCTGCATATTTGCTACCACCAGGCAAAGATGGGCTATGAGCAACAACAATAAAGTCAACACTTTGACAGATCAAGCAAAGTCGAATTCAACGTTGTCACGTTGTTTCGAACTTAAAGATGTGATCTATGTAAATTGTATGAAAAGTGCCAAATAAATACATGGTTCAGAATTCCATGGTAAATTCGCTGAATCCTTGGAACGGGCTTACGTAACGCTCAAACAACAGCTAATGCAATGAGGTTCCTTGATACAGAAGCAAAGATGCCAAGGACTGTCTACCAAATCCCTCAAATCGTTCCCCATAAGAAGAAGTGGTTGTAGATGTTTTCAGAACACCAAACTACAGCTAACACAGAAAAGTTCCTTCATACAAAAGTAAATATGCCAAGGACTGTTTACCAAATCCGTCATATCGTTGCCCATGAGAAGAAGTGGTTGTAGATGTTTTCAAAACACCAAACTACAGCTAACACAATGAAGTTCCTTGATACAAAAGTAAAGATGCCAAGGACTGCTTACCAAATCCCTCATATCGTTGCCCATGAGAAGAAGTGGTTGTAGATGTTTTCAAAACACCAAATCTGGTTACATGATTATTGCTACATCTTGAACTATGAAATTATCACCATAACGTTGTGCGTGGATTACATTCCAGAAATGGATCTTTTTAAGTCTATCCTAAAATCTATTGATTTAATCTATCCTCAAAGTTCTTTGTTAATTTTTGTTTTAACAGAGATTTATTTTTTGCATTTACTATTTTCATACGGAAGAGAAAACGGAGTGTGAAACTAACAATATGGCATTTGAGGAGTGAATGTTTGGAGGACTAATTCATTTTTGACAGCGTTATCCAACGTTCCTTAGTCTCAATGCCTTTCATCTATCCCACAAGTTATTTTTTCAATCTATCCTCAAAGTTCTTTGTTAAAAATAATTGACAAATATTTATATTCTGCATTTACTATTTCAAGAAAGAAGAGAATTTTTTTTTAAAAGAACAATATTGTATTCAAGGAGGGAATATATCGAACTTTAACTCACTTTTGACTGCTTTCTCCGAACTTATTCAGTCACAATTCCTTTCATACATAGTTTTGTGTATATCTTGTAGTCGGGGTTTTTAAATATTTCCAAGGGGTGTTGAAGTAGTCACAATCACTCGTCTTATCATTATCTTTCATTCTTTCTTTGCATTGCGTTTTATGAAGTCGCCTTTAGTCAGTTTTTGCGACATTGTTCCACTCTCCAAATTCTCTACTTCTGTATTTTATGAATGCAGGCAAAACGGGTATAACTAGTTGTCGAAATACATGCTGGAATCATTTATCATGTGTTGTATGTGAATACAAGTTAATGATATAGAAGGCATTAAAACTGTAGAGTTACGACATATTTTATTGCTCACTATTAGAATTAGGGTTTAGTATTCAAACTACCTGGATGGATGGAAAGTCTCAATCTCACAGGAATTTACATTAAATTATTTAAGCTGTAATTATTTGCTTAAAAAATTGTTTGAGCAATGACAGAAATATATGTAAACTTGGTTAACTTGTATATCTTCTTAAACTTAATTCTTCTCCATCTAATACTTTTTGAAATCATGTTAGGAGTTAACATAGTTGTTGATTAGCACTAGCTAGTTTAACTATGATGAGCTAGTCCAGTTAGTTGCATATTATAATCTTAAGTTTGTGCAAACATGCTCAAAATCCATGTTATGTGGAAAAATGAATGAGGCTATAACAATCTGAATATATCTTTCTCCCACAATATATCTATTATCTATATAAAGATATATCAATATCCATTCAAACAAATTCTAAAATTAAATCCGAATGATTTTCATGAAATTAGAAGATAATCAAAACATTCAAATCACATGGATTAAAAAAATAAATAGGTAATAAAATTAGATTGTATCACAATTTCCAGTAAAAAAATGCAATATCTCATTTTTCAATAAACTGTCTAATTTTGGGCTAAACTAAAAATTTGAATTAATTTTCAATAGTTTTTTAATTTTAGTTTTTTTAAATACTTCTTTTTGAATGAAAATTACATATTAATAAAATATTGAAAAAAAAATTCATTTAAATATTCAAAGTTTATAGTACAATTATCATTATTCGTATTATCAATGCAACTAAAACTGACTTATTAGGATGACTGATGTTGGAGAAGTAGAGTTGAATTCAGTTTTTCAAAATTTCAATTTTATTTTAAGAGTGTATGGCTGTAGTATTCATTAAAAAAGAAAACAGTGCACATATCTAAAATGATGTGTGTGGCCAATGAGGAAATCTTGAGTTGTCAAAACTCAAAATATATTTGATCTGATTATAAACATTCGAATGATTGAAGTTGATATTACATATATAAATGAAAATTAAGTATTTATGTTTTATAAAGATATGATATCGATTATATAATAAATTTATCTTGATGAATATAATTGAATATTTGATATGAAAGTACGATGTATTAGGTGACAATATATGTATGCTTACGACATCTATTAAACAAGATATTTAAATTAATCAATGTTTCTTTGGCTTTGAAACAAGACATAATATTAGGAAAAAAATCAGTTCAAACATTATATGTAAACAACACATAAAACTATCTATACTTTCATAAGTAGATATTTGAATTTTTTAATAATTTGTAAAATGATAGCAAAAGTACAAACATTAATTAAATATGTAATTATATGTCAAATGTATTTACAAAACCAATGATTAAAATATCATGTCATATAATAAAATATCCTTTATCTCAAAATGATTTGAACTTTATAGTTTTCCTCAAATTTCATTATTATTTCGTGTTGATTATAAAAATCAACACGAAAAATATGATTGGAAATGGCCAAGCTAAAGCAACGTGAGTGATATAATATTTGTAGATGAGGTGTTGAAAACTAGAGCCAGTCATATTAAACGGAAGAAGAAGTCGTATATTTGTCACTATGTTGGGTCACTATGTTTGTTTTCCAATTGCAGTAATTTGCCAACAGAAAGTGAAATCTAGAGAGAAATATAGGGCACGGATTTGAGGATTGTCATGCGTTCATCACTCTATTGTACATCCTTCCAGCTTGCGTTCGACATCATCTATCAGTATAGAAGGCATTTCTTCTACATAAGGCCTGGTCAGCTTTGATGAGTCTTGGTCTCCTCAGTTTCTCTTCAGCGCTTCTATGACTAGTGGGTCTAACTCTTGGAAGTTTCAGTGGACTTTGTCAAGACTTGGAAAGATACTTGGCGAACGAACGATCAACTTGACACAAGGAGCGGCAAATTCTTCCAATGACTCGATGGATAGTTTAGGTCAACAGGGTTTCAAATTCTGTAAATGCCTAATGTTATGCACACGTGCTCTTTGTAAGACAATGAGGCCCCGCATAGACACGTACAATTTATTTCAACTATCGAGAAATTTTGCACTTGCCCATTACCCCCGGAGGTGTGATCAGGCTGGACTTGTTCTTGGATTTTGCTTTGGAAGGCAATAAAGAATTGTATTCGTGTTCGGCGTGCAGATTATTCCTCCGTTGTGCCTTCGCAGTAATGGGGTTGTGATGTGATATATTTGGAAGGTTGCAATCATTTTGTTTATCTTCTGAGTTCGAGAGATCAAATGAGGAGTTTCCGACCGCTCGCAAGGAACTCATGTTGCATTCAACTGTCAATCTACACTAATCTGCTCACTTCGAATGCTTCTTTTCAGCATATGAAGGAACAACAAGGGACACATGTTTTTTGAGCAGAGTCTATTCTTTAAGGTTTAAAGGAAGAAAAAAAGATGTTTTATAGTTCTTATATCTGGATGGATATGTGGATACACATTTGAAAGGCGATGTGATTTGAAACACCAAGGTATAGCAAATCATCTCAAAATCTACACATACTTCACAATGTATATACAATCTTATAACATAAGACAAAATGTACGGATAGAAAGGAGAATAGAGAGCATTGATTATATGTAATGATAATCTATGGATTTTCGTAACTTTATCATCAAGAAAATCCGAATTCTATTTTATTTATATAAATTTTATCCGAATTTTATATATATATATATATATATATATATTGAATGATAATTCTTTGAAGCTTATGCTTTGTTTCACACGATATGAGCATGTATTGGTGTTTCCAGTTGGCATCAGATACATTATCTTCTGTTGCAATTGGTACGTAGTCAATTCATCACCAACTACAGGTGGTTGTTACATGTATCAGTTGACATGTAACAACCACCCGTAGTTGGAAATTAGAAGGTTTATAATTATTTAGAATGTATGCGGTGAGTGGCAACAGCATGTAATTAGAAGAGGAACTGGACAATATCGTGGCCATCAGTCACGAGGATAAATATATTGTCCCTGGGAAGACTATATAAAGTCTTCCCATCATATTTGCTACTTGGTAACTTGTTTATACAGATTGTGACTCGTTCAGCTGGGGCGGAAGATTCCTCACACGGATTTGAGGAATTCGACGGATGTGGGAGGAGCTTGTGATATCATACCCTCGTGATACCAGGTGACATTGGGTGGAGAACATCTACAATGGTTCTCAATGACATGACTGTGATTCTGCATCGCACCAATTCATGCTCATGTGAAGATGTGGAAATACATTTACAGCAATCAACTTCTCCTGGATTATTCAACCTGATCAAGCAGAGGCTAAAAAATGAGGAGAATTTTCGCAAGTTTTTGATGCTGTTGTCTGATTGGTGGGCTGGAAGATTTGCCACTGAACATGTTGTGGTTCCAATAAGAAAGTTATTTAAAGACCATGTGGTAATACTTCAAGGCTCTGGATCTTTTCTCCAAATTGATTTTTGGGACTAGTCTTTAAATTCCACGATTTTCAGCTAGATG